CAAACAAAAGAGAGACAGTGACAAAGGGCTTTCTGCAAAGACTGATATCAATATATTTTCTCATCAGGATTCATTCCTGACCCTCTGAACCTCCTCTACCATACCCCTAAAGCCTCCTTACCCTGGAAGTTCACTTCACCTCTGGATTTCCCCTGCAGCCCCTTCCTCTGATTGGCTGATTCTTCCCAGAACCTCCATTTTAAACAAAGTCATTAATACATACATATAAATAAGAAGGGGGGGGGAGAAAAGCTCTCAGGGGAGCCAAGTCTTCATTCTTCTCCAGGCTCCATTCCACTTTCAGAATTTTCTCTACCATGCTCCCATCCCAGTACCTTTACCCTACCCCCACCGGGCTTTTACCCATTGTTTTCTCCATTACAATGTAAGCCCGTGAATACAAGAACTTTCTTTTTGTTTGTATTTCTATTCCCAGTGCTTGGCACAGTATCTGGCACTAGCAAGTGCTTTATAGATGCTTGTTGACTTGATTTGGAAGTAGTCTGCAGGTTAGTGCTTTCTTTCTCCTTCAAACTTAAAAGTTAAAATAAACCCATGAAGTCTTCTTCCCTGACTGAGTGAAGTGACAGGATGATTTTCCTGTCCTATTAGACTTTTGTTTTCCCCCACACAAAATCATAAATTCTTAGGCTCTGTACATCTAATGATCCTTTAATTTTTGTTAGTTTGTCCTTTGTTGGTTATTTATTGAGTACCTGCTATGAACAAAGCACACCATTGGACACAGTGGGGCAATATAGCCTATAATGCCCAGTCCCTGCCCCCAAAGGATTCAAAACAGTCACAAACATGAACAGTTACATAACAAAATGAATTAGTAACAATAGAAGACGATAACACAATCGAAAAGAGCCAAACTTTTGCCAAATAAACACTCTTATTTATGAGTAAATGCTAAATCCTTATCAGGAAGAGTTGGGTTCAAATCCTGTTTTTGATGCTTATTAGCTATGACCCTGGACATGTCTCTTAACTTTTCTGAGCCTAAGTTTTCTCATCTATAAAGTGGGGATGATCATACTTATTGCCTTATGTCATTGGGTTGTAGTTGAGTCCCAGATGAAATTAGGGAGGGAGAGAACACTTAACTGTAGTAGTTAGGAAAGACTTTCCTGGAGGAGGTGAAACTTGATCAAGTCTTGAAAGACAGTTTCTGGAAGTGGGAAGAAAGTAGAGTAAGCATCAAGAAAACATGGGGGAAAATCTGGAAGGTAGAAATGTATATGATCTCTTCTAGGATAATGAGTAGCTGGAGCAGAGAATAATAGAAGAATGAAAAATAAAGTTGGAAAAGTATGTTAGAAACAGACTATAGGGAGTTTTAGAAGCCAAGCTACGGAATTTAAACTTTGTCCCATAAGAAAGGGGGAGCTGGCCTTGCCTTGCAGTCAGGAAGACTTGGGCCTAAGTTCTGCCTCTGACACATACTAACTGTGTGACTACTGTAAAAGTAAGACACTTTTCTGTGTTCCAAGCAGCTTTCTAAGACTGTAAGTTACAGATGAGTTCTTAATCTGTTTGAATCAATGGAGGAAGTTTCCAAACCAGGGCTTCATCACACAGATGAAACCATATGTTCAGATCAATTAATAGGGAGCTCTTGAAGGATTTTCAGTACGGGAGTGACATAATAAAACCAATGTTTTATAAACTGGCAGTAATAAATAGGATAGATTAGTTGGGCATAGGCTGGAGGCACAGTGGTCAGTTAGGAAGCCACTGGGGTGATGGCAGTATGATGTTATAAGGGCCTGGATGAGGATGGTGGTAGTGGTCATGAAAAAGATGGCAGGAATTTGGGAGACATTACAAAGGAAAACTTCACAGGACTTGGTCATTAATTGTATATTATGATTGGATATCGTTACACATGATTTTTTTGGGAAGTGACTGGAATAGAGACCACTTACCCAAATAAAAACTCAAGAGGTATCTCCAGGTAGAAAACAGAAGGTTTTATTCTAGCAAGTCTCAGGAGAGAGCTGGGCATCTCCTACCCAGGGCAGACTGGTGTAGAGAGGCGAAGCACAAACAACAGCAAGCAGTATACATAGTCTTAGACAAACCACTCCAAAAAGCCCCCTCCCCACCTGTTTGTCTCAATCTCTTCATCCTCATTGGCTGAGGCAAGAGACCTCACAGTCTGTATTTAGAACCCAAGAGATACATTTTACTCAAAACTAGCTTGGGAGCTAGAAGATTGCCTTATTTGGTAAAGTTAAGGCACAAAACAACAGAGGGGGTGGTTACAAAACAAGGGAGGGGGTGGGCGGCTGGTGCACAACCCCCTTCCCCAGCTCATGCTGAAGCCTTACTACATTTATGGAGCATAGCTTACATCTTAACATGAGAAACTTTCACTTGTCCCATACAGGAAGCAGTCTGTGTTAAGTGACTTGCCCAAGGTAACTAATAAGTATCTGAGGCTGGATTTGAACTCAAGTCCTCCAGACTCCAGGGCTGATCCTCTATCCGTTGTGCCACCTAGCTACCCTTATTGCATATCATTTTACATATAGATTTAAAGCTGGAAGGGGTCCACTAGTTAGAACTTTTAACTTTACAGATGAGGAATCTGAGACCTAGAGGTCTCTTAATTGCTTAATTTCACACAAATAATAAATGGCAGAGCAGGAATTTGAACCCAGGTTCTTTGACTAATAGGGAAAAGTAAAAAATAATATTAAGTTTTCAAGTATGAGTGATGGAGGGAATGATAGAACTACTGATAAGTATAGGTAAATCATATAGAGGATTTATTTCAAGAGGAAATGATAAATAACAACCATAGGATGTTAGAGCTATGGAGGAGAAAATTGAGGCCAAAGAGAAGGGGACCTGGACTTATGTTCTAAGGTCTTTTCAACCTATCAGTTAGTCAACAAGCATTTATGAAGCCCCTCCTATATACCAGGTCCTGTATTAGGTGCCAGGGATATAAAAATTAAAATGAAGCAGTCCCTGCTCTCAAGGAGATTACATTTTTTTGTTTTGCTTTGTTTTTAAGGAGATTACATTCTAAAAGGGAAGAAAAATACATGCACATATAAGTATTCACAAAATAAAGACAATGTGGTTTTGGGAAGAAGTCACTAAGCAGTTGGGTGAATCAGGAAACCCCTCACATAACAGCTTGAAATGAACATTAAGGTGACTAGAGATTCCAAAAGGTGAGAAGGGAGTCCATTCTGGTCATGGGGGACACCCCGGTTCAAAACTCTGAAGAAAGGAAATGGGCTGTGCTGTGTGAGGAATAGAAATAGGCTGGCTTGAATGGTACATACCTCCGTGACTCTGAAGACTTGAGCAAAGCTATATTTAATTTTAGACCTATGAGCCTGTGATTGTAGTTAATTAACGGGAGAACTGAGAACCAGAACTCAGGCCTTCCTAATCCCAATCTCTTTTCACTGCACCCGTGTTTAGCATAGTGCTAGGCATATTTGTTGTTGAGTTGTTTCAGTCATATCCAACTCTTTGTGACCCCATTTGGATTTTTCTTGGTAAGGATACTGGAGTAGTTTACTATTTCCTTCTCCTGTTCACTTTACAGATGAGGAAACAGAGGCCAATAGGGTTAAAGGCTTGCTAGTAAGTATCTGAGGCTGGATTTGAACTCAGGAGGATGAGTCTTCCTGATTCCAAACCTAGTGCTGCTCTCTCTACTGTGCTATCCAGCTGTGGCCTTCGAATATACGTTTTAAAAAAATGTTTGTTGACTTGGCTGAAGCGAAGTCGGTTTTGATTGTGTGGCGATGGTGTGACATTCAATAGGAACTTACAAGCATCCGATATTTTGCTACTTGACGTTACCATAGTCATATCCCATGTATCTCTCCCTGTCCCACTCCCAGACAGCCATTCCATATGACAAATAGCATTTTTTAGAGAAAAATAAATCAGCACAACTGATGGACTCATTGGAAAATATCTGAAAACATGTGCAATGTGTAACACTTGTGGACCTCCCACCTCCACGAAAGGGTAGGTTGGGGGTATCTACTCATAACTCTTCAGCAGAGTCTTCTGGGAGCTTTGTAATTTTGTTACATTACTTTTGTTTGTGTAGTTGTTATTTCCACTTACATTACTGTAGTCACTGTGTATATCGTTTTCCTGGCTCTGTTTACTTCACTCTGCATCAATTCATGTACGTCTTTCCATTCTTTGTATTCATCACACACATTATTTCTCACAGCACAGGAATATTCCACTATATTTATGTACCACAATTGGTGTAGCCATTCCTTAGTTGATGGGCATCTACTCTGTTTTCAATTTTTAGCTATCACAAAAATGCTGCTATTTTAATTTTATTTATTTGGAGTACATAATCTAGGCTGGATGCAGCCTAGATTTCTCCACACAGGTACCGTCCCCTCACCTTTGCGCCTGCAGGCGGCGCCATAACTGCTACCTCCTCTCTCCATCCCCACCATCCCTCCAGCTGCAGAAGGACCTTCGCCGCTCACTCCTCCTCCCCAAGCCGCCAAGGAGGTGGGCGGGGCCTCCAGGAGAGACCGACTTGCTCTTCGATTCGCTCCCCGAACCATCAATCCCGGGATTTGGCTCCCGCCTACGTCACGTGACGCAGCCCATCATGGCGACGGTGGCGGTGGCGGCGGCGTTGCTGCTGGTGGGGCTCCGGGTTCCGGCCAGCGGCTGCTGAAAGGCAGGCGGCAGCGGCGGAGGCGGTCGGAGCCGCAACCGCAGTATCGACCGACAGACACTACGACGGGAGCGGGAAAGATGCTGTTTCCCGGGCTGGAGCGACGGGGGCGGACCAGGAGCCGGGCCGGGATTTGGGAGCAGCGATTTGTCTTGAGGAGCCGGCGCGGGCGCCGCTGAGGCAGCCGACGGAGGGAGGTAGGGGAGAGCAAGAAGGAGGGAGCGACCGACGGGCCGGCACGTAGACGGACCCGAGGCCCAGGGAGCCGGGATCCAGCTCCGGGCGGCTCCGGCCGCAGAGACCTCGCCCGCCACCTCCATTCGTGCGGGGGAGATGCCGGGGCCGCCGGGCGCGCTCCGGCCGCCGCCGCCTCGGCAGCTGCTCCTGCTGCTGCTGCTGCTGCTGCCGCCGCCGGGCGTCGGAGCCGCGCCACTTCCGCAAACAGGTGCAGGTGAGAGGCGGGGACACCTCGGCGGGGGTCCTGGAGGAGGCCGGGGGCGGGGGCACCTGCGGGGAGCCGGGGAGGGGACGCATCGGGGGGACTTCGGCTAGGAGAAGGAAGAAAAAAGGAAATGGCTTATAGAGCGGGGTGGGAATTGGGGTGCCGCTTAAGGGATGGAGGAGGAGATAGATGAGCCGAAATCACCCCGACATCTCCGGAGGATGAAGGGGAGGAGGCTGGGTAAAGCCCGTACCACGGGGGAGGGGGGAGATCTCAATGAGACGAACCTTTGGTTTGGGGTGTATGGTTTCGGAGAGACTGGGGAGCTTCGCCGACCTGGTGCGGGAAGGGGAGTTGGGTTAGGGAGCAGCCCCTGGGCAACCTTCCCCTGCTGTTGCGCTCCGAGGCCGCCGCAGTCCCGGCTCCGAACCTGTTGTACGTGGCTTCGCATCCCGCATCTCTCTGCAAGGCGGTTTAGCTTCCGCCGCTTCGGAACCTTCATCTGTCTGCTGTCACCTGCCTGCCTGCCGTGGGATTTTCACTTCTTGTAGCAGGAAAGAATGTTAAAATCCTTTAAGTGATTAGTGAGCGCCAGTTCTTCTGTAGCTTCTTGAAACTTAATTGTTTACAATTTAAAAGCAAATGTTTAGGCTTCTGGTTTGTTTGTTTTTTTTAAATTTCCTACGAAATGAATCTACGAAGATGATGGTTTTGGAATTCCATCTGTAAATCACCTATTTGTTGAAATCATGTAAGCAGAGCAAACTGCTTTGTACAGTTATTAGGAATCAGGTCTAAAAATGATTAAATTTGTTTTCTTAGCAATGTCATTGATTTTTTTTCCTTCTATTTTCCTCTATAATCTACATTTGGCAGTTTTTTCCCCAAGAGTACATTAGCCCAATAAAGCATATTCTGCATTTCGCCCCCTTTTTTTTTTCTTAACAAGTCTACATTAATTTGCCATTATGAATTGTTGCTTGTTTGAAATAGGAGAGACCAGTGTTAACTATTTAGGGAGCTTCTTGTGGTTTATCGTTTTCGAGAGTCAGATGCTTGGAAGAAGAAAAACTGGAAAGCAAAAAATCTTTGTAGGATGAGTAACATTTATTGATCACGTTGAAGTTATGTATATATTATTCAAGAAGGTTTGGAGAAAAATTCACAGTATTTTGAGACGAATACCGCTGAATTTGACCCAACCTGGCACTCTCTTTTGAGAGTCTTTATTGCTACAGGGAAGTACCAGATGGGGAAATCTTTCTTTCAATATAGATTACTGCCATTTTTGCAATTGATAGTCTTAAAGAATTTCCTAGAGCGCTGAGAGATTGAGACTTACCCAAGGTGGTACAGCTAGTAATTTTCCTAGAAAGAATTTGAACCCAGGTCTTCCTGCCCGTGAGGCCTGCTGTCTAGCCACTACGCTTCAGCTTCCTAGACCAATTATCTTGTAAGATGAATTTTGATCTAGTAGATAAAAAGAAATGTGAATTTTTAATTAGCCCAGAGCAGATTGATACAACATCGTCTAAGAAGAGAAAATGGAAAAAGATGTAAAAAAGTAATTTTGAAGTCAATTCAGCAAGCGTATAAGTTCCTGCTATATACAAGGTACTATATTGCCTACAAGGAGCTCCTAGGAAGACTGTTATGTATTGATTGACATAAATAATGAGTAGAAGGGTATGATAAAGGTTGCTTGTAAAAAGAGTGATGACGGTACAATTGCCAATTCCCAGGATTACTGGGGACATGTTTTTTAAAACCTTAAAACAAATCTTTTTTAAAAAAACCCAAATCTTAAAATAACAAAAACAATGCCTATTTGTGAATGCTAAATGTCAGTTACTGCCCTTTAGGGCTATAAATTCATGTGGATGCTTACATATAAAACATAAAATGAAACATCAGCTTTTGCCTGAATATTATAAAACAAAGTGACTTCTAAAGTCCTGGATTCTTATATTAAAAATTAACCTATAGATCTTTTCTAATTTATTGGTATCTAGATTATCATGACAACTTTTGTAAAACTAAAAAGTTTTCCCAGTAGATGTTCACCTTGTGATATATTGAATTCTTTTGATTAGAGGGTTTCAATAGATGAGTGACAAATTCAGATGATAGTTATCTAGGTAAAATTCTGTGGAAATGACAGACTTAAAATATAAAGCTTGTTGTCTTATGTGGCTGACACAGTACTAGATATTAAAGTACAAAGATCCTGAATAAATGTTTGTTGGATTGGACTGATAATTGAAATGATTCAAAACTGAATTCAGTTAGGCCAAGAAGAATTATTTGAAGAAAACTTTGTTGTATATTATTATTTCTCACTAGGTAAGGCAGACTTCCCAATGAATTTGTATGCTTGATAAGAGCCATTAAGCATCGTAAAAATGATAAACATTCATCTTTTTTATTACATCGGTCATTCAACAAACATTAATTCCCTATGTGCCAGCCATGGTTTTGGGTTCTGGGATTACAGAAACAAAAATGAAATAGTCTCTGGTCTCAAGGATATGACACACATAATATGCAAATATTTACAAAATAAATACAAGGTAATTTGGGGGGAAGGCAGCAGCAGGGTAGGGGAAGAAACTGGAGAGCCTTCATATAAGAAGTGGTCTAATCCAGGGGTGGGGAACCTGTGGCCTCAAGGTCACATGTGGCCCTCTAAGTCCTCAAGTGTGGCCCTTAAGAGTGAATCTTTGAAGGAAATTAGGATTCTGCGGGAAGAGGGAGTACATTTTATGCATGAAAGTGAAGAGGAAGTCTCTTTCACCCTTGTGAGGGGAACAGCCTGTTAAAAAGTAAGGGGGAGTCATGAAATTGAAATTGGTAAGAACAGTTATACTTTTAGAGTTCTGTATGCAGACTTATTTGTTGCTTCTTTTTGCTCTTTTTGTAGAGAAAAGGAAGGAAGAATAGCATAGTATTTCTTTTACATATACAATAATTTTAAAGCTATTAGGTATTATCTAGCCTAGGTGAGACTTCTTATTATTCACTTTTATTATTTGTTACTACCCCTTTATGTAAAAAAGATATGGTAAAGAAGTCACTTGAAACAATCAGGTAAAATCAAGCTTTAGAATTTCCTTTGAATTTCAGGTATCTTTAACCATTCCTATTTGTAAATGACAAAATAATCATGGATAAATATAAGTCACAGAAAAGTCAACAGCTTGATTTTACCTTATTGATTTAAATTCCTGCTTAAATCATTCAATTATAATGTTTCCATGGTAACTATATGTGGTAAATATATGGGTTGGGCTTACCCACCAGGTCTGAAGGAGTTTGCTTTATAACCCTCTTTCTTGGCTCTCCCTTTAAGTTTCTTGGAGACATCCTTGCAGTCAATGATCTGAAGCCTTTTTTTTTCTTTTTTCTGTTTTAGCTGCTAGTCCATATTTCTGGCAGGTCCATCATTTGCGGGCAATCTCATCCTGGAGATCTTCAGGAAAAAAGTAAAAAAGAGAGAAAGTTCATTGTTTTCATGACAGTTGTAAAGTTAACAATTTTTGAACAATTTTTTCTGGATCTCAGTTTTCATTAGATTCTGCTTATCTTAGAAAGATTTGTCTATGCATGCAGATTTCTTTTACATCTGCACTATTCTCAGACCTCTTGCAAAAAGTAGAGACACTTCGAATTGTTTTGAAAGATTGAGTATTTTCCTAAATAGAAGGCCCTCCTGTAAGTACACACAGTATCTTAGTGATATCAGGGCAGTAGTTAGTCAAGGAAACCTACTTCTATTGTTCTGTTGGATATTAGGTCACAGAGTACAGAAGAAGCTTTCAGCAGTTCCAGATAAAGGACTATACGGACGTTTCAGTGAAGCCAGTGGGAATCAGCTACTGATTAAACTTGAGTATGTGAAACTGGGGCTCTAGGCTTAGACTGAACAGAGACTTTTAACTTGCAAAATGCTTTTAAAGGGAGAATTTAGTAAAAGGCAAGTTTTGACATACTGACACACAGCTGCAAATTATTTCTATCACAGTTTCCACAAAGGAGTTTTTCCATCTTTGTTAGAAATAGTCTATATAATTTAGTTGTAATTACTACTCTAACTACTTTTAGTATAATGAATAAGAAAAAATACATCTTATAGAAAGGTCAGTTCAGATATTTTGTAGTTTATCTACATATATACATCAAACCCCTAAGTTTTGCTTGGATTGCTAATGTTGAGTATCCTTTTTTGTTTGTTTTTTGAGTTAATGAGTCCTTAGGTCATTAGAGTTTTGTGGACAATGTAATTGAGATAATTGTAAAAAAAGGAAATAAGTTTGCTCTGGATTATATCCAGAATTCTGAAACACTTGGGAATGACTCCTCAAAATAAGGCTATGTGAATTTAGTTATACAAGGAAAAACATGTAGTCAATATTCTGTTTCATACTCACTGAGATTATATGGACTTGAGTTCAAATTTGGCATTTGACACTTGCTACCTGAGTGACCCTGATCAAGTCACTTTAAAAAAAATCTCTGCCTCAGTTTCTTTGTGTGTAAAATGGAGAGAATAACAGCACTAATTTCACAGGGTTGTTGAGGATCAGATGAGATAATATTTGTATAGCACAGTGCCTACACATAATAGGCACTATGTAAATGCTAAGTGGTGGTGGTAGTAGGTGGTGGTGGTGGTGATATTTCTTTTTTTTCCTCCCATTTAATGGTATTTTATTTTATCCAATTACATGTAAAGATAGTTTTCAATATTCACTTTTGTAAGATTTTGAGTTCCAGATTTTTTTTTTCCCCTCCCTTCCCCCTCCTCCCCAAGACAGCAAGCAATCTGATATAGGCTATGCATGTACAATCATATTAGACATATTTCCACATTAGTCATGTTGTGAAAGAAGAATCAGAACCAAAGAAAGAAAAAATAAAAAATAAAATGATATGCTTTGATCTGCATTCAGACTCCATAGTTCTTTCTCTGAATGTGAATAGCATTTTCCATCATGAGTCTTTTAGAATTG